CTCCTGGACTCGGGGCGTCCTGGAGGGGACCCCCATCCATTGCCCCCCCCCCTCCTTATGGCATGGGGTACCCCCCGGTGTGGAGCATCCCCACCCACACGCCGGCTCAAGGGCATAGGGTACCTGAGGGATGCCTTCATCCACATACCCCTGGGGCTGGGTGTCCTGGGGACATCCCTATCCAACCCACAAAACATCCACCGGGACGTAGAGCACTGTGGAGAAACCACCACACCCCTTCCATAGATCTTGGGGTGCTGCTGGGCACTGGACATCCTGGGTGTGCCCCTGTTCACATGTCCCCCAGGACATTACTCCCCCCACCCCCAGCAGCCCCCTAGGGAATAAAGCATTTGTGAAGCACCCCCATTTAAATGCTCCACCCCAGATACTCTCCCCTGGCTTGGGGCACATCCCGGGCATGGGGTATCCTGGGGGCTCCCTATCCACACAGTCGACCTTCAGGTGTGGAACCCCCAAGCATGGGACATGAGTCAGTTCATCCACACACTCTCCTGTGGCAGTGGACCCTTTGCAGACCTCTGCCCCCTCATCCAGTCCCTCCCCAGGACACAAAGATCCACTCAGCACCCCTGAGCATGGGTCCCCAAAGCATCCTGTTCCCCCCCCAAGTTCACACTGCACCCCACAAAGCCACAGGCAACCCACAACTTGTGCCTTTGAGAAACCTAAATCCCTCTAGCTGCTCCCCACTGCAGGCAGAGGAAGGCTCCAGAGCCAGAACTCGGGCTCTTGCCTACGAGTTGCACAGGCTGCGAGGAAAAGGAGCCCAGACGCCGGGGCTCCCTTGCCCGGGGAGGGGAGGGGACAGCCGTGGGGGCGGCTGAGAGCGCAGCACCCGACTACCAGCCCTGCTCCTCACTCACATGTGCCTGGGCTTGCAAGGGTGGCGGCGGTGGGCAGTGAGCAGACACCATGGGGAAGCCTGGGGAGAGCTTCATCCAGATGGGGAAACTGAGGCACACACGGCGGGGAACAGGGTGGGGGTGTCCCTGCCTTGCCACCCCCGCCGAGGGTGGCAGGGAGGGGGGGTGGGTGCGTGGCGGGCGGGCGCCTGGGGAGGGGAAGGCGAGTGGGGAGGGGAGGAGGGGGAAGCGCGGGGCTGCCAAAATCAACTCCGGGCGGTGCAAACAGCCGGCCAGCTGCGCGGTGTAGTTAGGGAAACACGGCGCAGCTGGAGCACAACAGGCCCCGGCCTCCCCAGAAGGCTCCTCCTGGGGCTCCCTGCGGACCGGC